GGGGGTGGGAACCGGGCGGCTCCCCGGCCTCTGGCGCCCCCTGGCGTCTGCAGCGGGAGGCGCAGGCTTTGGAGCGGCGCGGTGCCCCGTCCCGAAAGCTCCAGGTACAGCCGCCTTCGGTCTGGGAGGTAGGAAGAGCCCACCCAGAACCCTAGATCTCCGGGAGCCCCGCAGGCCTCACAGCCCCGCAGGAAGGGCTGTTTAAACTAGAGCTGATTCGAGGTCCTAGCTGGTTGTGATGGTGGGGGGCTGGGGAAGGAATCCTTAGAGAAGGATCAGGACAGAGTTGGGGTGCCTAGGGTGAGCTGGGGTGGGAGGACAGCCTGGGGGCTGAGGGGTAAGGGTCCCAGGTATGTGTGTGTGTGTGGGGGGGTACGGACAAAAACCTGACACACTCCTTCATAAGGCTGGTCTCTTGTTACCTCTACTGCCTCCAGAGTGAATGAAGGCTTTGCCTTAGTAATTTCTCCTGGCAAAGCTAGCCTCCGGATATGTCCAGCTTGCTTTTTTATGTTTCTGTAGGTGCTAGATGCTCCTTTGCCTTGGTCTGTTCTCTCTCCTTTTTGTCTCGGATCCCAGAGAAGGCTGGTCACGGAAAGGCTTGACAATGGTCATGCACACCAAGTATAAGGCTGGCTCCATGTGACACTTCTTCGGGGGTGTCATAGTTCAGGCGGGCTCTCTAACTGGGAAAGTTGTAGCCCCCTGGTCAAGGCATCCCTGGGAAGCAGGCTGAGTGCTTTTCATGCGTGGAGAGGGCTGTTCCTGTACCTCTGGAGAGTTCAGGAGGCAAACTTGGCTCATCAACCCTGACCTAGAGCCAGTCTCTGGGGAAGCAGTGTTCACCTTCCCTTGTACCCGTTTGCAGGGCCTGCGGGGCGGACGGCCGCTGGTCAGAGTGGTCCGAAGGCAGCAGTCTCTTCCTGCCCAGGCTGCTTCAGTCCCTGGGGCCTGGGTCAGGATATAAAAAGGTGGCTCGTGAACCAAGCTTGGGCCTCTTAGGTTTAGGGACTGTGCAGCTGGGGCTGGTGTGGGGGAGGGTCTGTCATTTTCTCCACGCTTGTCCCACACCTGGTGGCCCTCAAGAGAGAAGAAGGAGCTGTGGGGCACACACACCCAAGAACCCCTTGCCTGTTTCAGAGAAAAACCAGAAGTGGCGGCCGGGAGCATCCCAGGTAGCTTCCCCCAGCCACTCCAGGGAGGGGGGAACGGGGGGTTGCGCCGTTCTGCGTGCTCAGTGACCGTGCATCCGTGCAGTCTGGATGGTACAGTGGGTGGTGCTACTGACCGGGGCAAGCAGACCGTCCAGGGGTCTGAAGAAAGAGGTGGAGGGGACAGGCCTGCCACGGGGGATTCAGTAATAGCCCTCTGCACTGCGTGTTCTTCCCGTTCCCAGCCCCAAGGACACTACCTGAAGTCTCAAGCATACTTGATGCTTCTTCCTGCCTCAGGGCCTTTGCACACGCTGTTCCCTCTGTGTGGAGGGCCCTCACCTCTCTCTGACCACCACCACCTCCACTATTGGCCTTGCTTACTCTCACTCTTCCTCCAGGTCACAGCCCAGGCTGTGGGGGTCAGTGTCCCTTGCTTGTGCCTTCCCCGCCCCCGCAGCCTTGCTTCCTGCCCAGTCATAGTCCAGTTACTTGTCTTTTGCCCCCACTGGACTCCTCGAACACAGGGACTCACTCACTATGTCATCCCAGTGCCTAGCGGTATCAGACGTACAGGAAGTGCCCAACAAGGTTTGTAGAATGAGCCATCCTACCCAGTGGTGTAGGATGAGCCATCCTGCGGCAATGCCAAGTGAATGGCACCAGCTTAAGATCCTCGGGAATTGTGGGAGATCACGTCAGGATTGTGAGTGGAGGGGCCTGTTGGTTTCTGTAACCTCCTTTCTGTAGGCTTCCCTTTCCTTGTCTCTTCCTTTCCGCCCCCACCCCCACCCCTTCGGGCCTCGTTCTCACCCAGCATGCAACTCTGCTGCCACCTGGGGTCTCTCCAATCACCCAGCTACTCCGAGCAGTTGCATTTTCTCAGCAAAACCCAGGACGAGGGCAGTGCTTAACACAAAGGGAACCTTCCTAAGAAGTCTGAGTTGAAGGGCTTCAGAGAGAGGGGCCTTTCCCTAACCCAGGGGCAGGCAAACATGGCCAAATCCAGCCTGGGCCTCTTCGTACATGGCCTGCAAGCCAAGAATGGTTTTTACATTTATAAAGGGTTATTGAAAACACGGAAACAGTGACAGAGACCATAACGTGGCCCACAACGTCTAAAATATTACCTTTGACCCTTTACAGAAATTCTGTTGTCCCCTCATCTTACAGATGGGAACACTGGGGGACTGCAAGGTTTCCCTAAAATGGCACAGACGAGCCAACGGCAGAAGGAGCTCTCCTGGGCTGGTGGAGAGATCCCTGGACGTGTAGTCAGGAGACCTGGGTTCCAGTCCCACCCAGTCTCCTCTCTGGGCCTCAGTGTCCCCACCGTTTATAATGGTGGTGACTCTAATCTTGTACTCAGGATGCTTCCTGATGTAGGTGCGCACTGCATCTCTGTGATGGTGACAGGGCCACCGAGATCTTTTGTGGTGGATCCACCTTACAGCACTATTTCTCACCGGTAGGCTATGAATTTCTCTGCCTAAGAACAAACAGAGCGGTATGAGTGTGTGTCCGAGGTGGGAGGGGGCTGTCACCGCGCCCCACCTGATGCGTGCCTTCCCTCTGATCCTTCCCCTGTGCAGTGCTACCCTCCAAGCCAGACTGCGGCATCAAGGGGGAGGCCGTGATCGGGAATGACATCCAGCTGACCTGCCAGTCGAAGGAGGGCTCCCCGGCCCCTCAGTACAGTTGGAAGCGCTACGACGTCCTGAACCAGGAGCGGCCAACCCCAGCAGGTAACGGGGTCAGTGGGGAGGACAGGCCCCCACCCACAAATGCTAGGGCCGCCAGGGGAGATCCTGGCCTGACCAGTCAGGTCTCCCTGAAGGGCTGCCCGTTTCCTCCCCCGCCCTCCTCCCCCCTGCAGCATCTCTGAGTCTTCTCATGATAATCCCCATCTCACAGGTTGTTGTGGAAAATAAAAGTGAGTCACATAAAGCACTCTGTGGAAGCGCATAATAAATCTTCATCTGTTATCTTTGTTCCGCACAACTCAGTTCCTTGAATAGGCACGTCTGGATAGCCACTCCATGCAAAAGCACCAGGTGGGGTTTTCATTTTGACTGTGATCATGTCCTAAAGTATACATTCGAAGCCTCAAGCCTAGCTCTGGCGCTCCACTCAAGGGCGGCCATTCCCATCGGCATGCCCCATCCAGGCTGGTCCGGCTCAGGCTCCACGGGAGCCCTCCTTCCCAAACTTGCCCTCCGTTTGCGGCCACAGCCCTTTGCACGACCAGGCAGCTGGAAGGGTCCCTCAGTCTCAGGGAAGGAGACGTTAGGTTCAGCGGTGGTGGCCCAGAGACCTGCTTTGTACTAGGCAGCTTGCTCTTTGACCTTTGGTCAGGAAACAAACTGAAAAACAGAACAAAACAACCCTATATAAATATCTTACCGTCATTACCTTGGTGCCCACTGGTGGGGGGGATTCCTCGGTGGTGTCTTTGGGCCTCAGTAGCCCCTGGCACAGTCAGCACTCCTGGAGATCAAACCAGACAAAGTCTGAAAGCTGCCAGCTGGCCTAACTTCTGGGCGGTCTCTCTGCTCGGTGTGGGTGAGGAGGACGTGGGCAGTGAGAGGGGGGCAGAGGGTGGAGACGCCCCGGCTGCATGGACAGGCTGGGCTTTGGTCAAGCAAGGACGATCTTTGTCAGTCTGTCCTTCACTCACCTGGAGGCCAAACGAGAACTTCTTAAAAGTAATAAATACATACATAAATAAATAAAACCCACTCACTCCAATGTGAATTAGAAAGGATATTGTGGATTTCAACAAGTTTCCAGTTCTGTTGACAAATTTCTGGCTGGCAAATTACTATCGAGTGTGTCTGGAATTTCTGGAAACCACCTGGCAGCTCTCGTCTGGGTTCGACGGCCCTGCCTCTCTGGCCTGTGCACGACCCAGTGACTCCAGCAATGGTCACCACGGTGTGCCACGGACAGTGGCTGGTCGGCCCTTCCTTCCAGCGAAGTGTGTGTAGGGAGACCCAAGGCTGGCGAAGATTACACCGTGCTGGCTTTATAGCCAGGGCTGTTGTAAACCAGGGGAGGCATAAGGGCATAAAAGGCTTCCCCAAGGAGGGGGCCCCTGAGGCAGCAGGGTAGCATGGTGGCTAAGAGCATGGTGTGGGCTTGAATCCTGGCCTTGCCACTTGTTAGCTACGTGGCCATGGCAATAGCCTCTCTGTGCCTTCGTTTCTACATCTGTAAGATGGGCATAACACTAGTACTTACTTCACAGAGTTCCTGTGAAGATTAAATAAAAGTACATGTGAAGCATGGAGACCATCCCTGGTAGGTAGCTGGAATTCCTTAATGCTAGGTGTTATTAACTATGGGGTACGTGAGCTAGATCCTTAAGGATGAGTAGGGTAGGCATGGCAAATATCCCGGGAATCGCGAGTATTCTGTGCAGCCGAGGGTAGGGAGCATGCGTTGCAGGGAGGAGGGGGTACCACTTTAAGAAAAGCAGCGATGGGGGATCATGAAGAACCTGTGCATGGGGCCAGAGAGGCCGGCCTTTGCCCTGCAGCCCTAGGCACCTTCTGAGGGGCATCACAGATGACTGCCCTGCTCATGCTCTCCGGCCTCCATCAGGAAAGACTTCCAACCTTCGTCTTTCAGTGATTCAAAAGGGGAGAAACTTGAGGACATGAAAGAGGGTCAAAGGGAGACTCACATACGTACTTTGGAAAAGCTTCATCCTGCTTCAAGTTAAGGTTTGCTCAGAGTCAGAGTCCAGATCTGGGAGTGCCAGCCAAGAGTGTGGTTAATGGTAAAAGTTAGGCAAGCTTGCATCTGGTGTTGGATGGAACGGGGTGGGGTTCGTTCTCAGAGCCTTCGGACTCCACCTGCCTCACGGAGCACCAGAGTCAGACCAAACCCAGTTCTGATTTTTAAAACATTTCAGTCCACAGTGGACAATTTGAGAGAAGGGTTCCTCCACCCTTCTCTATCTGAAGACAGAAGAGATTGCTTCCTTTCACTTAGTAATCAATGGAAACAAGCCAGCAGCGAAAAGAACAGGGACTCTGGAATCAGTAAATAAGAATTTCAGTCCTGACGTTTCTACCTTGTAGCTATAAGTCACTCACAGCCTCTCTGACCCTTAGAATCCTCATCTGAAAACCCTGGGATGAAAACCCAGAAGGCTGGAAAGAGGAAAGAGGAGATCCCATGTGTGATAGTTCTGAATATCCTTTGTAAGGCAGCTGAACTTCATGTACTGAAGGAGTAGGAATTTGGCTATCAAGGAAGGAGGGAGGGGTAATTCTGGGGGCTAGAGCACTTTAGAGGAGGAGGTTCTTGAAGGATCAAAGGGTGGGTATGCGCCCTGCAGCTAGGGAGGATCTTGAGCATCCTGAGTGAAAGGTGGCAGCCATAGGGTCAGGATTGTGGGGGTGGAGAGCGGCCAGGGACAGGAAAGTTAAACCTTGCCAATTTGACATCAGTGCCTCTGGGAGACGGGGTTTCTCTCTGCGAAATCTCCCCAGCTGGAGCCCAGGGAAGTGGGAGGCTGACGGTCCTGTGCGTTCCTCTTCTTGACCACAAGGTGTCGCCACTGCAGCGAAAACATCAGCTTTAGCAGGATTTCAGAAACTGTATTAGGTCGTTTCCAAGAGGAAAAGGGGCTTGGCAGCCCAAGCTCAGAGTCAGAGCAGATCTTGTGGCACTGGATATGCACTGGTTAATTCCAGACAAGCTTCTAATGTCCACCGTTTCCTTTGCGGAACAAGGCCCAGAGTCCAAAGCTGGGCTCTGATAACCGGAAAGGTCCTGGAGGCAGTCCGAAGTCTTCTGTCCTGATCGGTCGGCAATGTGCTGTGTACACCTTACACATAGACTGAATCTCTATTTTTTTTTTTTTTTAAGATTTTATTTATTTATTTGAGAGAGAGAGAGAGCAGGGGAGGGTCAGAGGGAGAGGGAGAGAGAGACTCCAAGCAGACTCCGTGCTGAGTGTGGAGCCTGATAACTCGGCTCAATCTCACAACCTTGAGAACATGACCTGAGCCGAAATCAAGAGTTGGACGCTCAACCGCTGAGTCACCCAGGTGCCCCAAGATGCCTCTTAAAAATAAAAAAAAAATCCAACTAGTTTAGAAAATAAGACCATTAGGGAGGAGGAGTTAAGATGTCAGAGGAGTAGGGGGACCCTAAGTTTGTCTCGTCCCTCGAATGCAACTAGATACTTATGAAATCATTCTGAACACCTAAGAAATCAATTGGAGTTTCTGAGAAAACAAATACTGCAAGTCTACAAGCAGGAAAGTGACCACCATTTGGAAGTTAGGAGGTGCAGAGACCTGAATCCAGTGTGATAAAGCGGAGTATACGGCCGCAGGGAGAGAGCCTGCTTAAGGAGGCTACTACAAAGCATTATAAGCAGCGGAGTGCAAAATCGGAACTTTTAGAAGTCCACTGCAGTGGGGGACGTGCCTGGTTTAAAGGTGCTCAGGTGGCAAAGTGGGGCGGAATCCCAGATGTGACACCATGATCTGAGGATACAAACATAGTGATTCCACTAGGCGCCTGCACCCCAATGCTTATAGCAACAAGGTCCACAATAGCCAAACTATGGAAAGAGCCCAGATGTCCATTGACAGATGAATGGATAAAGAAGAAGTGGTGTATATATATACAAGGGAATATTACTCAGCCATCAAAAAAAAAATGAAATCTTGCCACTTGCAATGATGTGGATGGAACTGGAGGGTATTATGTTAAGCAAAATAAGTCAAGAGAGAGACAATTATCATATGATTTCACTCATATGTGGAATTTAAGAAACAAAACAGATGAACATAGGCAAAGGGAAGGGAAAATAAGAGAAAAACAGAGAGGAAGGCAAATCATAAGAGATGCTGAACTCTAGGAAACAAACCGAGGAGAGGTGGGTGGGGGGATGGGGTAACTGGGTGATGGGCACTGGGAGGGCACAGGAGGTAATGAGCAGTGGGTGTTATATGCAACTGATGAATCACTAAATTCTACCCCTGAGATTAATAATACACTGTATGTTAACCAACTTTAATTTTTAAAAATTTTAAAAGAAAAGAAAAGAAGACCATTATTACTATAACCTCCATTTAGGGACACCCAGTGCTCATTAGCAAATTAGAAGCTCTAAGAGTTCTGTTGTTAAAAAATGTATTTAACCCTCTCTCAATGATTTTGAAATTTGCTTTGGTCATGGACTGCTTTTTTAGTACTGTATGTTAATGTCACGTGTAAGCAATATTCCAGAAAACATTTGGAGGCATGAAATTCTAGGGTAGAAACATATAGAGAATGAGCATCCAGAAGATACAGCTGGGGGTTTCAAGGGAAGAATCTGAAGAAAGTACATAGGAAAAGATTGGAAGAAAATAACCCAAATCATCAGCTGTTATTTCTAGCTGGTGAAATTATGGATGATTTTATTTTATTCTCTGTTCTTTATACCAGCTTTCCCTGACCCTTCAGATGAGATTAAACTCCCTTGCTATAAACTCAAATAGCATTTCCATTTCTAACTCTAATCACCCTGTGATCACCCTGGTTTCTTGTCTGTCAGCCCTCAGGCCAGGACAGAGAGTGTCTTCATCTTTAGGGCTATGGCGATCAAGCTTCTAAAGGTTTTCTGGACTGGATTGATTTAAATAATAGCTTCATATCATGTACAAATTCTTATAATGAACCTACATTAGTTGTGTAATACCTATTTTTTTAAAGAAAATTGTCAACTGCTCCAGAGAGTTCTAGACCTAAAACAGGATCATTTCTTAATTTTGTGACATTTGGCAAGTACCTTAACTTCTCGAAGCCTCCAGTTACATCTGTGACATTGGAGATTGAGTATTTGTCCCACTTCCCGTACAAGATTGCTGACAAAATCACAAGACATCACATTTGAGGAAGTATACGGAGTAGCACATCCAGACAAGGGAAATCTGCACCAGATACAATCTGGCAAGAGATTGGAGGTGGGGCAAGGGGGGGGGGCCGCACAGCAGGGGGACTGGCCAGAGATAAAGCTCAGGTGATTGCAGGACCAGATCTGTAACCCTGTGATGGCATTAAGAAGCTTGGACTTGTTATTTTTTTTTTTTACATTTTTATTTTAATTGCAGTTAACACACAGTGTAATATTAATTTCAGGTGTACAATATAGGGATTCAACACTTTCACACATCACCTGGTGCTCATCACAAGTGTGCTCCTTAATCCCCATCACCTGTTTAACCTTCCCCCATGGTAACCATCAGTTTGTTCTCTAGAGTTAAGCATCTTTTTCTTGATTTGTCTCTCTTTTTTTCCCTTTGCTCATTTGTTTTGTTTCTTAAATTCCACATATATGGACAACAGTATGGAGGTTCCTCAAAAAGTGAAAAATAGAACTACACTATGATCCAGTAATCCTACTACTGGGTATTTACTCAAAGAATACAAAAACACAAATTCAAAGGGATACATGCACCCCTACGTTTGTAGCAGCATTATTTACAATAGTCAAGTTATGGAAGCTGCCCAAGTGTCTATTCACTGATGAATGGATAAAGAAGAAGTGTTATGTGTATGCAATGTAATATTCAGCCATAAAAAAAGAAGGAAATCTTGCCATTTGCAACAACATGGAACTGGAGGGTATAATACTAAGCGAAATAAGTGAGTCAGAGAAAGCCTGGACTTGTTGTTGAAGATTAGGAGCCACCTCTGGAATGTCTGAGCCGTACAGTGACTGGGTCCCACTTGCCAGGTCAAACATCTCCTCTGGATGAAATGCAACCGTTACCTGGTGGCAGAAGATCTTACGAGGCTAACTCTGCCGCAGATTAGAGGAAATGGTCTCTAACTCTCCACTCAAGATAGCAGTTATGACAAAGCATCTTTGAGGACAGGGCATATAAAGAGGTCTAAGCATAAAGCTCTCCCTTTCAAGGTGAAGAGATTCATAGGATCACAGATTTGGCAGGAAGGTTTCTCATGAGGACTATTGGACCATTCTTGATTTCTCAAAGACTTCTTCCACGAGTCCAAGCTCAAGGACTCAGTTTCGGAAGACCATAAAAGTGGTTATAACCGTATCTTCTAATTAGAAAGCATTTTCATGTAATACATATCTATTTTATGTTTCCCGAGCACTTACTACACATCAGGTGTTCCGATGTGGGCTTGCATTGATCAGTACCTCATTTTATGCTATTAGCGTGCCTCACACAGACTCTTGTTATTTATAAGTAGAGAAGCTAAGGTTCAGTGAAGCTAAGTTCCTGGGCCAAGGTCACAGAATTAATCAGGGGCAGAACCAGGGGGCCTGACTGAATTCTGAGCACTTCAGAATTGGGCATCCTGCCTGCAGCGCCCCTGGGAGGCCTAGAGGTGGATACTCTGTCTCTCTCCATGTTTCAGAGGAGGCTCGGACAAGTTCAGCTGCAGTGCTCGTGTCTGCCTAGGAATTCAGGTCTCCAGATTCCTAGGTGTTTCCACTGACCTGTGGTGCCTGGGCTCCTCACCCTCACTGTTCTTCCTTCCCAGTCACAGGCCAGACCTTGTCTCTGAAGAACATCTCCACAGATATGTCGGGTTATTACATCTGCACCTCCAGCAATGAGGTGGGGACCGCGTCCTGTAACATCACCGTGGCTGTCAGACCTCGTAAGAGCGGGTTGGGGGGCGAGCGGGGGAGGGGAGTGGACCAATGCCGAAAGATCACTGGCTTGGGGTCCAAAGAGGCAGCTGAGAGAGACGCTGTGGAGGTGAATTGGGGAGCCTCTTCGGCAGGGTAGCTGGGGTGACCTCAGCCAGACGCTCCCGGCCTAGAGGTCAGTCCAGGTCCCTTGGTTCTTTGCAAATAGAGTCTCAGACTGACTTCTGGAGACCTGCTCAGCCCTGCCTGCCTTTAGGGCCACTCAGTGGGCCTGAGGGAAGTGTCCAGAGTCAGCTGCCACGGAGCCTGGACCTTATTTTTGGGGTGGGTCACCTCCAGCAGCTCAAGGACAAGCTAGATTACGAGTTGGCATGGCTGACAGCTGAGGACTTGGCAGGAGCCTGGGTCGTCCAGGGAGTGTTGAGATGCAGATCTACTGGCCTGTGCATCTTTGCATCCGCCTCCATCCTGAAGCGTAGTCTCTAGACCTACCTGGTCACCTTTCTGCAAGGCCATGCCCTTCATGGCGTGTTACTAGAAGCTGACAGTACTCCCTGGGCTGGGAGGGAGGCTGGGCCTGCCCAGAGGCTTCCCTCACCCTGGCTCACCAGCCCCAGATGCCTGGGCTCAGGTCAGGACTCAGGAGGTGCCCCGCTGCCCTGCTCTGTCTCTTGCAGCCTCCATGAACGTGGCCTTGTATGCGGGCATTGCGGGCGGCCTGATTGCAGCCATCATCATCCTTGGCATTGTCGTCTACTGTTGCTGCTGCCGCCAGCAGGAGGACGAGGCTGAGGACATGGAGCCGTGAGTGCTTGCAGGCACCTGTTGGCGGGGGCCTGAGCAGGGGGCGAGGACATGTCACAGCACCTCATGGCCTTTGCCACTCACACCACCCCTGGGGACAGTGGCCCCCAAGTGGCCTTGCCGTCCTGGTGCCCGACTGCAAGGCCCGTAGTTCCCCAGGCTTCTTGTGGCCTGTCCGGGGCAAGCGCGGGTGGGGCCCCCTCCAGGGGCTGGTCCCTCCTGGTCTGGCGGAGCCGGCCCGTTCCTACAACACTCTGAGCTCATGAGCAGAGCAAGTCTGTGCCACCCGCCTGTCCACTCGGAGCCAGCCCCCCAGCCCAGGGTCCCTTCGCATCTGGGCGGGGAGGGACGGCAGGTACGATGGCTGATCTTCCCATAAGGAGCACTGGGCCCAGCTCCCCCAGCCTGAGCGAGGGCAAATTCTTCCCCTCTGTCCTCACTGCTCTCAGGAATCGGGCGGCCTACCAGAAGGCTCCAAAGCAGGTGGAAGAGCTTCAGACAGAGCAGGACGAGGAGGATGACTAGGGGCAAGAAGACCAGAAGAGCGCTGGGCAGGAGTCCCCCCGCCACGCTGACCGGTGACTGGAGCATGCCGCACGCAGGCTGAGGTGGGGGGAAGATGGGTGCTCATTCCTCTGCCGCCTGACTCCCCTCTCCTTGCCCCATTTTTCTGGCCCTCCATTCCCGTCATTGATGGGATGCTTCTTCCCTATGTCATCTGCTGGAGGACTTGGCTAAGGGGACCTTACTGGTGACTGACCCTGCCAAGGGCCCTCACCCACAAAGTGGCCCCTTCCCACTGCCATGCCTAGCTCACAGCCTGGCCCCCAGCCTGGAGCCGGCCGCAGCCTTACCTTCCTGGCGGGGGGCTCCGAGGCCCAGGGCAGAGCCTGGGTGCCCCTGGTTGCGAGCCCTCCGAAATGTGTGCTCCCCGCATGCACAGCACCTGGGGGAGCCCCTGGGGGAGGGGTTGAAGTCAGTACATACTTGTTGAATAAATGAGTCTTGGAAGGACTCCCTATTATTTATCCAACCTAAATGAAAACTCCTGCTTCAGGACCCACTTTGGCCTCAAGCTCCCTTTCCAGCTCATCTCCCGCCACTTCCCTGTACAGTCCAGAAACTCTCTGCAAGGGCCACCTTCCGCTCCCCTGCACACATCCTCAGGGGCCCCTCACTTTCTCTCCCTGGCTGGGATGCTGTTTCCATCGCCACCTGTCCCAACAGGCCCGCCTCAAAATCCCAGTGCTTCCTATAACTGGACCCTGATCTCCCCGACACATGGGAACAATCTTGTCACCTTGTCTCACACTCATCATGGGCCACACGGCAGTTTTCTGAGCATTAGCCTATCCCTAGGCTAATGTCTGAGCTCCTTGGGCCAGAGCCCAGCCTTCACTCCCGCCCGCCACATCCCAGGAGCCCTCCCAGCAGGTGCTCACTCCAGCTGAATCTGGGTGCCTATCTTGATAGGTTGCGTCTCCCCCTCCCTGGTTTCTCTGAGATGTTTGTAGACTCACGACTCCTCCCCCCAAACCCCTTGGCTACTTTAGTGAAGGGAGTGTGTGCTGATGTAAGTGAACACACACGTGTGCACAAGCAGGGGATTGTTTTGGCTGGTCCCACATGCTCACTTCATGATGACTCTTCTCGAGAATACCTGGCATGACCTCCCCTGCTTCCTGACCCCTATCTCTGGCCCTGCTCCCCCACCGGCCTGGCGTGTCACCCACTGTCAGATCACAAGCACTGTCCCAGCTTTGGGCTCGTGGCCTGGTGGCTAGTCTCACCCAAGTGCAGTTACATCATTGTCTTTTCTGGATGGTCAGCAAACTAGTTCTCGAAACCTATCATCCATTTGTGATTAAAAAATATATATATAGGGGCGCCTGGGTGGCTCAGTTGGTTAAGCAACTGCCTTCTGCTCAGGTCATGATCCTGGAGTCCCGGGATCGAGTCCCGCATCGGGCTCCCTGCTCGGCAGGGAGTCTGCTTCTCCCTCTGACCCTCCT